GGACTGTCATTGCTCCCGCCCCTGCTTTGTAGCCCTTCCAAAAGCCCAGAGAGCTCCCTTTGGCAACAAGCAAACTGGCAGAATTTTTGTCAGAGAAAACACCCCAGTCTAGTTAAAGAGGAAACTGGTTGAAGACCCATTTTAAAGCCATTGGTTCCACATCGGAATACGGTGGCATAGGATTCCTTGACATTTTGGCAGCTGTCCCCGGGGGGAAGGCAATTTTTAAAAAATAATGCAATCACTTCTGTGGTTCTCCAACTGCAAAAGCTTGATTGCTATTGCTTTAAATACATCGTTTCAGTTTGTGATTATTTGTTACCAGTTTTAGAATTATTTTCAGGCTCATTGAGGACTCTGTCATGCTTCTCTTGTGTGGGATTTATTGGTTGGAAATTCTCAGGCCATGACACTGTGAATGAGGGAAATTTCAGAATAGTTGTAGGTAGAAATTTGAAATGTGGTGTTAAAAAAAATCTCATAATTATGGGGCAGATTTTAAAAACTGCTTCAACATCTATTGAGTATTAGGGAGTCTCTCCTTCCAAATGAGATTAATACCTAGCCAAAATATGTATGATTTTTTACTTCTCGTTTGCTGCACATCTCAGTTTTCTTTCCCTATGAGATTGCTTGTTTTGGTTATCTGAGTTCTTTTAACCCATTCCTTCACTTTCTGTTAAAAAAGGGTGGTGCTCAGTTTCTAATAGCACAGAAAAGGATGCTCAGATGTTGAAAGTTCTTGTGTGGGAGTGGTCTACTAAAAGAAAAGCTAAAACTGGTAACCTGTATGTCATGCTGCTATAGAGAAAACAATATGACAACAAAAAAGATTCAATCTTACAATAACTGAAGAAAGGGAGCAGAGGGGCCAAAAAGCTAACTGGCTTCAAGACGGAGCTTGATAAGTTTATGGAGGGGATGGTATGGTGACACTGCCGACAACGGCATGTAGCTGATCTGTGATTGCTAGCAGCAAATATCTCCAAAGGCTGGTGATAGGACACTAGATGGGGAGGACTCTGAGTTACTACAAAGAATTATTTTCTGGGTGTCGGGCTGCCCAGTCTTGCCTACATGCTCAGGGGTCTAACTGATCGCTATATTTGGGGTCAGGAAGGAATTTTCCCCCTGGTCAGATTGGCAGAGACCCAGGGTGGCGGGATTGCATGTGGCAGGCGTCACTTGCAGATTTAAACTAGTATACATGGTGAATTCTTTGTAACTTGAAGTCTTTAAATCATGATTTGAGGACTTCAGTAACTCAGCCAGAGGTTATGGGTCTATTACAGGAGTGGGTGGGTGAGGTTCTGTGGCCTGCAATGTGCAGGAGGTCACACTAGGTGATCATGATGGTCCCTTCTGGCCTTAACGTCTATGAGGGACTGGGTAGATAGGTGGAAACCCACAACATGACAAAGCAGACAATAGAAAATGGGAATTTCTTTATTATAGCACCACACAGCATGGCCACAAATTATTATGCAAACTAAAGGATAGAATACAAAGTAAGCTATAAGGGTTAAGAAACAAAATGGAGAAAAGCTTCATCCTTAGAACAAGACATTACACATATTGGATGACTCATGAGAGGAAGGATGGTCCAGTGGAGAGGGTGCTGGCCTGGCACTTGTGGGTTTAATCCCCTGTTCGGCAATATGTTTCTTGTGTGACATTTAGCAAGGTGCTTAATCTCTCTGTGTCTCCATTCTCCATCTGCAAACAGGGATAACTGCATTTCCCTACCCAGCAGGGTGTTATGAGGAGAAACACGTTAAAGATGGGGATCACAAATACCTTGGATAGATTGTAGAGAGTAAGCACTTTTCACTGACACTTCATAAGAGTGATAAATAACATAATACTAATGATGTCAGAAATATTAATTAGGTGTAAATCAAAAGCATAGATTACAAACAGTATATGTTATGCCACAACATATTTTGAATGCTCCCAAATACAGTGCATTAAACAAGTAAAGTCAGACACAATTCTATAATACCCAGTTTTGACCCTATATAAAATATACATTATATCAAATTTCACCGTGAAAGACCACTTACATATAAAGAAAAAACAGTCCCCATTTCATGGACAATTCAGTTTTAACTATAGAATCACTGCCAAGTGCCTCCATAATTGTTACAGACAATGCTATTTTACATTCAATTATTATGCATAATTCCAGGAAATTGTTTGCCGTATCTGCCTTCATATATATCATGTGGCATTTTAATTACTACAATATAAGCTTGAGTACAAAAATTTAACACACACACACACACAGCATAAGGATGCCTGCCCATGGCCCCAACTACTACTCTCCATCACCATCACACCACTTCCCCCCAGAAGCAATGGTGCAAATGAGAGGTGCATAGGGCCACCTTTTCCTATCTGCAGTATATCATGATCATGTGCCATCACACAAAAAGCCTCGCCATGCCACGTGGAATCAGCCCTATGCTGAGCACTTTTTTCTCTCCAAAAGAAATGTTGCCTCATTCAGTATAATCTAGGCCCAGGATCACAATTTTCAAAACTGGGTGCTTAGAGCTATGCTTCTGAAGCCATATTTAGGCACTTAATTCAGTGACCTGATTTTTTTAAGTGCTGAGCACCCAATAGCTCCCACTGACGTCAAAGAGAACTCCGGGATACTCAGCATTTTTGAAAATCAGGTCACTGATTTAGATCACTAAATATAGATTTAGCAACATAACTTTAAGCACTCAGTTTTGAAACTCTTAGCCTAGGCTGCTAGAGAAACAGACAATATTTGGGTGTTAGGTTACAGCAAAAAAGTGCAAGAAAAAGGAGGGTTAAAATCATTCTATGTGTTTTCATAAAGAAATACGTTTCCAAATTCCACCAATATATTGACACACACACAAACTTGAGGTTGACAGAGAGACACAACCTGTCTTTCTTCTTAGGGTTTGGAATCTTGGCAAAATAATTGACATGAGTGAAAGCAGTAGAACATAAGTAGAGCTTTTTGACTGGCTTATAATTAAGACAGACATAACAATAAAGCAGAGCCTGTCTCTGATTTATTTTTATTTAAAAATGCCATTTCTTTTCACCAGTAAGACACTGGAGGCAGTGCATTTTAGGGTAATTAGTGGATTTACGTAGTGGTTAAAATAATTAGGCCTTCAATTTTGATTCTCACAAAGATGAGCTATGATCACCCAGGAGTGCACTGTGTTATCATTGATTGATTTTCCCCAAAAAATACATTTCAGCAAAAATATATTACATTCATTATATTCCTAGGAGTAGAGAAGTCATTGTATTATTGTACAGCCATAATACATACAGAATTGTTATGTTTGAATTATTGCTGGGGAAAAGTCATGCTTAGTTTAATGCATGTGTACCGTTCAATGAATATATTCAAGTTTATATAAGTGAACATCCATTCTATAACCCTTAAAGCCTTTTTTAGAAAATCCTCTTCATTCATTTGCTTGTATAAAACAGACTCCGTGGGAAACCCCAGAGACGCATCCTACTTACACCTCCATCAGGAACAATAACGAGTCTCACATGAGTGATTACATCCTGCATTTGCAGGGCAGTACCGTCAAAGAAATGCCTCTTGTTAGGCTTAAGCTAAAACAAAAATGTAAGGTAAAACTGGCATACTTAAATACTGCCTTTTAACAGAATAACTGTTACATATAGACAGAAGGGTGCATATGTCCACTAAAACTTTAGCTACAGATAAAATAGATGAAATTCAGGTACACAGAGAAGAAGCTACAAAATGCAAGAATCCAAAATAATCTCCTTATCATTTGATATACTGTATAATGCTTCTCCATCCCCCAAGAAAACAAAAAGAAAAAGATCATGAAAACAAGATGTGTGTCCACTTTTGCTTACTATACTCTGTAGTTTTGTCCTTGTAGCGTTTGGAAATTGATCTACTCATATAAAAACCTGCAAAACGCTTTTTTTTTAAAACGTTATTTCAACACAGCCAATAGGCTATAGGCTAACAGTCCACAGTGCTCATATGATCTAGAAATAAAAGCCTTACCTTTGTAACAGAAAGCAAAGGATTCCATTTTGGATTCTGTTTAAGGTTCCATTTCTGTGTTATACAATCTTTTTCTTCTTGTGTGTTCAAAACACAGGCTTCGAGTTTGCAAGTATCTGGAAAGTTACCTGATAGCAAACAGTAACATGCTTTTGTATATTTTTGTTGCATTATAATTATTTTCTTAAGATAAATTTATTTTAAAAACTAAACTTAGGCTTTCAGAGCTGAAACACAGAGTAATGAATTTCACAAAACACAGATTTGATTCTTTACGTTTGTACTGCAATTATGGCTAGAAAAAATAAGTAGAGCTGGACAAATAATTAAAAAGCTATTTAGAAATATTTTAATATAAAAAAAATCACAAAGCTTGTATTTATTCATGAATATTAGTGAATTATGCACCCACCTCTATCACCAGGACCAATAATGGAAAACATCCACATAATTTATTCCATAAATTCCACATTCATCATACTATATTTGTTCAATAAAATACATATATTCTACAAATATTTGAAACCTACTGCTTGAAGGAATATGGTTTGACTCTTTGTAACAATTGATATAGAATGCTCAGATTCTCCAATCCATTCAATTGGGTGACTTTAATGGAATCAGGATTTTAATGACAAAATTCCCACGGACTTCAATGAAGCCAGGATTTCACCCAGTGACTGCCCTCAAAGATTCCCCCAGCATCGAGGAATCCTCCCCTGACTTAGGGCAGCTATAATGGCTTCTATGGTACCCAGTCCTGGTGCTGATATGCCCAGCAGAAGGGAGATACACCCTAGGTGCCCCTAAGCTTAGCTGATCATCAACTGCTGAAACAGTTTAATTCCACCTTTCCCAGGAACCAATGGTCCTGCACAATATATCTATGGTACAACATATATTTTTGGTATGATCAATAAAATACAGGGGACAAACAAGAAGCATTTGTTTTACCTTTAAAGTGATTAGTGTCTATTTCAATGTGAGTTATTACACAAGGATGTGCCAACCGGAAAACTGCCCATTCACTCCCTGGCATGAGGAGGATACCTTTCTCATCAGCCTGAAAATAAGAGGGAAAAAACTTTTACATGGTTCGATGAATCACAAAAATCAAAAAGGTAAAAGCAAGGCATGGTACATTTTTGCATTTACTAGCTGAACTTGGTTTCTTAAAAGTACATTTTACTTTCAAACTATTGAATGAATCTGATTAAACACCGGATCCTCCACCTCCCTTCTGACAATGAGAATTTTTTCCGCAAAAAACTATATTACCCCAGTAAAGCTACCTTCACGGAATGAGTTAGAGCCCTATTAATAGGACTGAGTAAGATATGGAATCTGCAGGTCAATACAAATATAATGCATTTAAAGAGAGAATTCACAAGAGTTTCAGTATGTTTTGTTATGGATAGCTGTAAGATGATGAGTAGTTTCTCTTCAAGAAGAAATCCCATTTTTAGAGGCTGAAAGCCAAAATCATCCTAATCTTAAGGTTCCAATAAAGAAAAGTGAACTAAAGGAGTAAACAAAGTGATCCCTTTCCAGTTGCAGGTGCCAGCATTCCAATCATTCCACATACACCTCTACCTCGATATAACGCTGTCCTCAGGAGCCAAAAAATCTTACCGCATTATAGGTGAAACTGCGTTATATTCAACTTGCTTTGATTCACCGGAGTGCGCAGCCCCCCTCCTCATCCCCGGAGCACTGCTTTACCACGTTATATCCAAATTCGTATTATATCGGGTCGCGTTATATAGGGGTAGAGGTGTATCACATCATATGTAATTCTTATGATAAGCATTCAACCTGTTTTCCATTATTTAGGGCCCCCTTTGACATCAGTGGCAAAACTCCTATTGACTGCAATGGATGGAGGATTAGGCCATTAATAATTTGCTCCCTTAAAACCTGCTTGCACATTTCTCAATAAATACTGCATCCTTTAACTTTATTATTTTATTCATTTGTCTCTCTTAAGAACCTGGATTCCCAAAGATGATAGAGCTGCAGTAGTAATCATCTCTCACATTAGTATAGTTCAGGGGTAGGCAACCTATGGCATGCGTGCTGAAGGCGGCACGCGAGCTGATTTTCAGCGGTACTCACACTGCCCGGGTCCTGGCCACCGGTCAGGGAGGCTCTGCATTTTAATTTAATTTTAAAAGAAGCGTCTTAAACATTTTAAAACCTTATTTACTTTACATACAACAATAGTTTAGTTATATATTAGAGATTTATAGAAAGAGACCTTCTAAAAACGTTAAAATGTATTACTGGCACGCGAAACCTTAAATTAGAGTGAATGTATGAAGACTCGGCACACCACTTCTGAAAGGTTGCCGACCCCTGGTATAGTTCATTTCATTATCAAGAGAGGTTAAGAATCCAGACAGAGATGGTAAGAAAAAGACAGACCATATACGGCCTAATAGCTTTGAACTAGACCTAGAGAATATATTGCAATGCCTACAATATGAGTTGCTGCTACCTCCTGGGAACACAAGACACTCTACGAAAACATTATTTTGAGATTTCTTTTAAATCTTCTCAAGTTTCATTAACACACACACACACACAAATATATATATACACCTCTTGGGGGAAAAAGAATTGTAAACAGATCTAAAATCAGAACTGTAACTCATTTATTCCTTACTTTTAAAACTGGTGGCCTGTCCGGTCTTCTTGCTGTTTCCCAACCATCTTCCATGGATGTTGCTCTTCCTAGCCCTACAAAAATAGGTAACTGTGAACAGGCTCCCCCTTCAGCTCCTGGAAACCCTGGCTGGTAAGTCCTTTTTGTGAATTAAGCAGCACATACAGGCCAGCAGGGTATTTCCACCACGTGACTTTATTGATTTTTATATTCCAAGTACATCACAACATAGCAGCAGTCATGTGTAGCCCCTCTCCTTTCTTTTCCCGTCGTTTTATGGTGCAGCAGACTCAGCATGTGAGACTATGGGCATCACCTACCTCAGTTTTCACATAAGCAAAAACATCAATGTCCTGTATCCTTAAAACAGCGAAGTGACGCTTTTTTAATGTTACCCCACTTTCCCAGTACTCTCACCAGTCCTTTTGGACTATCTTCTTTCATCCCAAGGCATCTTAGATTCTTTATGACTAACTTTTTCTCTATGTAATTGTCCTTGCATTGCCACAGCAGATGCTCAACTCTTTCTTGGACTTTGCATGCATCACACAACCCATCTTTGTGCTTGTTTAACAAATATAAGTTACCATTCAGATCACAGCGACTTGTTAGCACACTAAATGTAGTTAATTCATTTCTTCTGTCATAGTTATTAAGTACACTACTATCCTCAAGTTTAGGACATATTTCATAGAACCTTTTTTCTTTTTTCTCTTTGGCCCATAGTTCTTGCCATTGCTTCTTAAGTTCTCTCTTAACCAAACTTCTGATGTCCTGTTTACTCAAAGAGATCTGTATATCAACCTCCTCATTTTAAGGCATTTTTCACTGCTTTATCTGCCATTTCACTGCCCAGTATCCCAACATGCACCGGAATCCACACTATTACAATGTGTATACCCATTTGTACTACCTCTGTAGTTATGAACAACAGTTCATTGATTTAGTCATTCCTGTTTTATGTGGCTCCCCTTCTAATCACCATTATACCTAATAAAGAGTCAGATAGGATAGAATAACAGACATAGCTGGGCATACATCCCTTATCCAGGTGAATCCATTTGTGTCCCATGGAACAGATATGGTGAATGCTACTATTGCCATGGTTGAATCATCGCTTCTGGTGCAGGAGAACCACATGGTGTAGTGTGATCACATCATTTTGGAAACCTGGGATAACCAGCAGTGGCTTCAGAACTTCTAAATTATGAAACAGACCTTCATGGAGATGTGCGATGAGCTTGCACCAAACCTCCCACACCAGAACACTCGATTCAGAGAAGCCATACTGATGTAAGCAGAGTCAGGATGAGCTCTACCCTGACATCTGGTGGCAAATTATGGCGAGTGTGGAAAAGAACTCCAGGGGCTGATCTTGTTTGCATAGGCACACCCACTCGCCTGGCATGAAACACAGCAACTGAAAGTGGTTACTTTGGCTGGTGTGGGATCCCCAGTTTCTCTATTATTGGGGCAGGAAGAATAAAGTTTTGTTACCCTGATTCTGTGAATCAAGGCCAGTGGAACTGTTGTATGACAGAAGGACTGAGTGAGTCCTTCACCATTACCTAAGTAGCACTTGCTTGACAAGGGGCATGGGTTACAAAACCCAGTGAATTGAGAGAGGATGGGGACAGGTATTTGTACCTGATGGTATGGGCCCCCTCTGAGGGTTTGAAACACCAATTGCACCGCCTCCTCTCTCCACTGTTGAATGTCAGAGCTAACTTTGATTCCCTTAGGAGTCTAGTTACAGGCTGCTGAGCTGAATTCACTTTGGGCCAATGGTGCACCAGCACTGGGGCTCCCCTACTATACTATGAGCTGAAATCGCTAAGAGCTGAAATCACAAAAGAGCTGATGTTATTAAGAGCTGAGATCACTGAGTGCTGTGTTAACTAGTGGGGGAGCCTGAAGCTATATTGCTCAGCAGCTGGCGGAGCAATTTGTGGGGACGACTGGAGGAGCAGTGAGTGCCGTGGAGCCTTGCGGGGCCGGTTGGAGTGGCCCAAGGAACGGCGAGCGGAGCTGTTTGCGGGGACGGCTGGAACGGCTCACAGGTCGGTGAGCGGAGCGGAGCAGCTTGTAGAGTGGAGCAGTTCGTGGGGTGGCAGGAAAGTGGACTGGCTTGTGGTGAAGGCTGCGGCGGAACCCCCACGGAGAAACAGACGGCTGGCCAGCCTCGGATCACGTAAGGTGCCCCTTAACACCCTGCGTGCCCCCCCCCCTTTTACTCTGGGGCTGCACTGACCAGGGACAGAGACTTTGGGGGTTGTTGGACTTTTGGGACTTTGGGTGGTTGCTGGACCCAAGAGACTTTGGGGCTGTTGGACTTGGGGGACTCTGGGTGATTTTTGGGTTGCTGGATTCAAGAACCAAAGGGAAAGGACACAGCCCCATTTGCTGGGGTGGGTTTTGCTCATGGTTTGTGTTATGTGTTATTAAACATTTTCTGCTACACTCACACTCCGTGCTTGTGAGAGGGGAAGTATTGCCTCTTAGAGGTACCCAGGGGGGTGGTATGTAATTGTCCCAGGTCACTGGGTGGGGGCTCGAGCCGGTTTTGCATTGCGTTATTGAAACGGAACCCCTAGATACAGAACCCGGCCCTTGTTGCTGCCAACTTAGATGGGCATAAGGGTTACACTAGTGCAGAACCAAGTGACTATTGCCTTGTGGAAACCAACAACACCAGATAGTTACCTGTCAGTTGCAAACCAATGAGGTGTTGTAAAGTCCACTGTTGGCATCATGGTTGTGCAGGTTTGCAAAGCAATTAACACTGTGCCAACAGTATGCCCGTCAATGACCACAAAATTGGATAGACTCATAGATCTCTGAATTCCAAATTCAGGGATACAAAAGGCCATTCCGACTCTACCTGTGTAGTCTTCTGTAGAGTCATTGGTAGAGATTTGGCCAGAGAAATCTATAAATTCATAAGTCATAGTCATCATATTTAATGATCCTGCTCTTCCCTTTGTTTTTTCATATAATTCCAAATCCACAATGAGAGAGACAACTGTCCAGCTATAGTTCGATTTCCCATGACTAAAGATTTTAATTTCTCCAGACCTTCCTTTTCACCCAAGTCTTTTACCCATCTTTTGACCCTATTAGCATATGAGAGCTTTTGTGGCGCCCAGTTACTTCTTGTCTACTTAATTCTCAACAGTCCTCATATATTTGTTTTGTATTCTTATCTTCACTATTTACATTAACCTTAGCCCAAAAGGCAAAATCTAACAATTTAATCCTTAAATTTATAGGCATTTCTCTGGTTGCTACCTGAAGCACACAAAGGAGTCGTAATACTTGCACCACATGTAAGTCACAGAGCTTGGGCTTGGATCAGCTTTTGTGTGTGTGTGTGTGTGTGCTGATTTAGAAGCTGAATGAAAGGCTTAGCATCCCTAATATATAACTGGTCTTTTTAATGTCCTGTACAGCAATAACAATGTGTTCCTATCTGTACCCCAATTGTTCCCAGCAGATTCATCCTATCTTTACATTTAGTCTTGATATTATCTATATAACCTTTTCAAGTTAGTTTATCATCTAACATAACTTCTAAGAACGTAAAATTTTGAACTACCTGTATTCTTTCTGTTTAGAGATACAGGTTCCATTCTTCCCCAAACTTCCTTTTTTGTGAAGATCATTCCCTTTGTTTTAGCAAGTGAACTTAAATCCCTGAGTATCTCCCCATTCTGAAATTCCCAACTGCCTCTTTCATTGTCTCCACAGCTATTTTAAGTCTTCTATGCTTGGCCCATATAACACAGTCATCAGCAAATAGAGTAATACCTATTAATGCCCATATACTCTCCAGGAGATCATTAATCATAACATTAAATAGGGTTGGGCTGATAACGCTCCCCTGTGCAATACCATTAGTAAGTTTATAAATATTCAAAAAAGCCGCCACAACCCTGACTTGTATGGTTCTATCACATAAGAAATCACTTATCCACCAGAACATTCTTTTTTATTCCAATTGCGGCTAGTGTATACAGCAAGCCTTCCCTCCATACATGTCATATGCTTTTTCAATGTCCAAAAAGACAACTGTCATAAACTCTCTGTTCCTCATGTTTTTTGTATTTCTGTTTCTAATCTTACAATATGATCAATTGTGCATCTTACTTTCCTGAAGCCACTTTGCACACAATTTATAATTTGTTTTTTTTCCCAAGTTTGCTACTATTCTCTAATTTATCATTCTGGCATTTAATTTCAAAAAGAGGAACTATGCAAAAATGAAGAGGTTAGTTAAACAGAAATTAAAAGGTACAGTGACTAAAGTGAAATCCCTGCAAGCTGCATGGGCGCTTTTTAAAGACACCATAATAGAGGCCCAACTTAAATGTATACCCCAAATTAAGAAACACAGTAAAAAAACTAAAAAAGATCCACCGTGGCTTAACCACCATGTAAAAGAAGCAGTAAGAGATAAAAAGACTTCCTTTAAAAAGTGGAAGTCAAATCCTAGTGAGGTAAATAGAAAGGAGCATAAACACTGCCACATTAAGTGTAAAAATGTAATAAGAAAAGCCAAAGAGGAATTTGAAGAACGGCTAGCCAAAAACTCCAAAGGTAATAACAAAATGTTTTTTAAGTACATCAGAAGCAGGAAGCCTGCTAAACAACCAGTGGGGTCTCTCGATGATAGAGATAGAAAAGGAGAGCTTAAAGACGATAAAGTCATTGCGGAGAAACTAAACAAATTCTTTGCTTCAGTCTTCACGGCTGAGGATGTTAGGGAGATTCCCAAACCTGAGCCGGCTTTTGTAGGTGACAAATCTGAGGAACTGTCACAGATTGAAGTGTCACAAGAGGAGGTTTTAGAATTAATTGATAAACTTAACATTAACAAGTCACCGGGACCAGATGGCATACACCCCAGAGTTCTGAAAGAACTCAAATGTGAAATTGCGGAACTATTAATTAGGGTTTGTAACCTGTCCTTTAAATCGGCTTCTGTACCCAACGACTGGAAGATAGCTAATGTAACGCCAATATTTAAAAAGGGCTCTAGAGGTGATCCCGGCAATTACAGACCGGTAAGTCAAACGTCGGTACCTGGCAAATTAGTCGAAACAATTGTAAAGAATAAAATTGTCAGACACATAGAAGAACATAAATTGTTGGGCAAAAGTCAACATGGTTTCTCTAAAGGGAAATCGTGTCTTACTAATCTATTAGAGTTCTTTGAAGGGGTCAACAAACATGTGGACAAGGGGGATCCAGTGGACATAGTGTAATTAGATTTCCAGAAAGCCTTTGACAAGGTCCCTCACCAAAGGTTTGTACGTAAATTAAGTTGTCATGGGATAAAAGGAAAGGTCCTTTCATGGATTGAGAACTGGTTAAAAGACAGGGAACAAAGGGTAGGAATTAATGGTAAATTCTCAGAATGGAGAGGGGTAACTAGTGGTGTTCCCCAAGGGTCAGTCCTAGGACCAATCCTATTCAAGTTATTCATAAATGATCTGGAGAAGGGGGTAAAAAGTGAGGTGGCAAAGTTTGCAGATGATACTAAACTGCTCAAGATAGTTAAGACCAAAGCAGACTGTGAAGAACTTCAAAAAGATCTCACAAAACTAAGTGATTGGGCAACAAAATGGCAAATGAAATTTAATGTGGATAAATGTAAAGTAATGCACATTGGAAAAAATAACCCCAACTATACATACAATATGATGGGGGCTAATTTAGCTACAACAAATCAGGAAAAAGATCTTGGAGTCATCGTGGATAGTTCTCTGAAGATGTCCACGCAGTGTGCAGAGGCGGTCAAAAAAGCAAACAGGATGTTAGGAATCATTAAAAAGGGGATAGAGAATAAGACGGAGAATATATTATTGCCCTTATATAAATCGATGGTATGCCCCCATCTTGAATACTCTGTACAGATGTGGTCTCCTCATCTCAAAAAAGATATACTGGCACTAGAAAAGTTTCAGAGAAGGGCAACTAAAATGATTAGGGGTTTAGAGAGGGTCCATTATGAGGAGAGATTAAAGAGGCTAGAACTTTTCAGCTTGGAAAAGAGGAGACTAAGGGGGGATATGATAGAGGTATATAAAATTATGAGTGATGTGGAGAAAGTAGATAAGGAAAAGTTATTTACTTATTCCCATAATACAAGAACTAGGGGTCACCAAATGAAATTAATAGGCAGCAGGTTTAAAACAAATAAAAGGAAGTTCTTCTTCACACAGCGCACAGTCAACTTGTGGAACTCCTTACCTGAGGAGGTTGTGAAGGCTAGGACTATAACAGCATTTAAAAGAGAACTGGATAAATTCATGGAGGTTAAGTCCATTAATGGCTATTAGCCACGATGGGTAAGGAATAGTGTCCCTCTGTTTGTCAGAGGGTGAAGATGGATGGCAGGAGAGAGATCACTTGATCATTACCTGTTAGGTTCACTCCCTCTGGGGCACCTGGCATTGGCCACTGTTGGTAGACAGGATACTGGGCTAGATGGACCTTTGGTCTGACCCAGTACGGCCGTTCTTATGTTCCATAATTTTGCTCACACGTGATGTGAGGGCAATAGGCCTATACGCATCAGGTACTGTGCATAATTTGCCATGTTTTGCTTGTTGCCAATAGTATTCCTTGTCCCCATATATTATTATATAATTTCAGTAAAACTCTTAATCTCCCTTCTGGTAAATGCTTAAGCATTTCACTACATATACTATCTTTACCTGAGACTGTTTTTATTTTTGTCTATAGCTTTTTTGAGTTCCTATATGCTGAAATTTTCATTCAATATGTCATCTTTATATTCTACTCAGCCGTGTAAGAATATATCCATCCCTCTCTGCTCCCTATTCTTAGGATACAAATGCTTCTATTCCTTTTTCTTCTTCCTAAACTGAAGCCATTCCTCACCCATTACTTCTTCTCCCTCATTTTCCAACATAAGTTCCAGACTTTCACTTTCAGTCTGTATTTCCAGCTATGGTCAGCCAGTCAGCCACCAGCCCAAGTTGCCCCTGAGTTCCAAGCCCAGCTCTCAGCCTCTCCCAACCTCACCAGCAGCTGGCCCCCAGCCCCGATGCTTCTCCCTGGCTCCGCCTTTTTTACTGCTTGCTTTCTTCTCAGAGCTATCCAGCTGGTGAGCTAATTGCCTCATGAGCTTCTCAGGTTTCCTACGGGTGCAAGTGATCTCTTCTGCCCTTTCAAACCCAAACTAAGTCCCTCCTACTCTGAGGGATTGTATACACTACAGGTTATATTGATATAACATGTAAGCTACACCATCCTAAGCACCAGTATGGACAGCTCTGTCAGTGGGAGAGCTACTCCCTTTATGTAGGTGGTTTTATTATGCCAACGGCAGAGCTCTCTCCTGTCAGCATATAGCGTCTTCACCAGACATGCTACAGTGGTGCAGCTGCATCAGTGCAACTACACTGCTGTAGCACGTCTAGTGTAGACTAGCCCTAACTACAACCAGTGCTCTGGGTGTTCTACGAGACCAGGGTGCTGGCTTCCAAAGGGCTCAGTTTATAGCTACTAAGAGCACCCTGTCACAGTAACACAGTGGAGGGTATTCTCTGTATATCAGCTGTGGTTTCTCTCTGCTTTCAATGTTTCTTCTGAATTCAGTGCTCAAGAAAGATGCTAGATCGTAGTTTCCAGGTATGTCAGCTTGCTGTATATCCACTGAACATGTACATTGCAGGCAATGGATATGCTATTTTCATCACATTTCCCCACCAGTATGCCACAACCATAACCAGGCAAGACCATTTCTAGGGGGACCAGAATAGTTGTTACTATGTTCAATTCAGTTCTTTGCTTCTGCTGAGACTGCCAGTGGTGGTGGGTTTTGTGATGTGAACATTTCTACACAGGGATATAGATTGAGAGCATCAAAAGAGAGGACAGATCATATCCCCCAAGAGCCACATGTGGAGGAGTGCTCCACCCATGGATCTCCCTTCTTCCACATGGAAGGAAGGCTCTGGCACCTCCAAAGCACCATTTCCTCTCCCTCCCTGACTTTCCAGACCTCCTCTTCACATGATCTGGGGTCTATGTGAGAGAAAGGATGGAATTTGGGAAGGAGCAGACCAATGGTGGAAACCTTACAGCCCCTGCCCTAGCCCAGTAGAATTTCCTTGAAAGAGTTAATACCACCCCAGACTATTCACTATTTTGCATAACACACCCTCCACCATTCCCAGAACACACTGGGGTCCCTGCGAGCCACTTGAGGCCAACAGGGAGTCCCTGGTAGCATGGCTCCAGTGGAGTCTCACTGCCAGGGGGCTAAGGGGTATGGGGAAAGAACATACCAGGGAGTTCAGAACCTCTATATGGATGTATCCTGCTGATTCCAAGATATCGGCCATGTTTGGGGCAGCTTTTCTGTAGTAGAAGGAGTAAAACTGTATTGTCTACATTCTACAGGGGATTCTCCATGAGGAAATCCTTGTGGTCTTCTTTTTAAAAAGTTCCTTCCCAAAGTTTTTGCCACAGGAGAAGATAATCTGGGCTCTGGCTACAGAATGAGCCATCTAATTGTAACAATTTATATTTACTACTGACCAGTGGCCTAGAATTGAAATCCTTGTTTACAGATGGCATTAGAAATCCTGGCCCCTATGGAAGATCTCATCTATCATAAATTAAGTTAACAAAACAAATTTACTGAATTGGTAAGTTCATATAGCTATGTGGGTAGGGCCCAGACCTGCATCTCATGTGAGTTTTGTTTGAGAAAAGACTACAGGACTGAATCATAGTTCAGTAAATTCTACTTTAAACCAACTATCAGAGGGGTAGCCGTGTTAGTCTGGATCTGTGAAAAGCAACAGAGAGTCCTGTGGCACCTTTAAGACTAACAGATGTATTGGAGCATAAGCTTTCGTGGGTGAATACCCACTTCGTCAGACGCATGCATCAGAAAAGCTTATGCCCACGAAAGCTTATGCTCCAATACATCTGTTAGTCTTAAAGGTGCCACAGGACTCTGTTACTTTAAACCAGTTATTGTGACTACTGTGACCAAAGAGGGAGTTTTTGTTAAACTGCATAGGAGAATGATTAACATTGATTCTATGCTGTGAATACAGTTTACTTCCAGTATTTAAAACCAGAAATAGTAATGCCTTTAACTTACCTAGAATATTTCTTGGGTGGCCTAATTGAGCACTGCTAAATCCAACACAAATACCTCCATTCTCCATTGCCACCAAGTCATCCAAGTCATTTGGGCCAGAAGCTGACCAGTCTTTCTGAACAACACCATACACTTTGAAACGTGCAATCCCACCATCTGTCAAAAAAATAAAATTAAAGTGAATGATTTTATCTTTAAGAATGAATAGAACCATGAGGGCCATGCTTATACATATTCAGAAGCAGAGTACAGCACAAATGGCAAATGCAAGATGTACATTCCTTTTAATCTACAGACTTTGGAATGAAAGGAAAGAGCTTGGATTTCAGAGTGGAAGCTGATCACGACACGTTTCCACACAGGTGTTCTGTAGTTTATGATGTCATTAATAAACATCAAGACCAGTAGGATATCCATGCAACACGTCAGTGCACTAATATTCCAAAGTGCAGTAGAATCTGAGAATACTGTCAATCCCTTTAAACCATTGTGTAGAGTTGTAGTTTATAAAATTCACACTGAAAATCAAAGGGCAAAACTGATAGAAACATCAAACAAGTTTTATAACAACACAGTTCTGGAAATATTTGTGCATCCTAGGTATACTCGGGCTTGCCTCAGTGTGATGGGGATGGATTAGGTGATCTCTTGAGATTCCTTCCAGCCTTACATTTCTATGATTGCTCCAAAGTTACTTCTCATGAGCATTTCAGAAATTTGTTAAAAAGCCAAAATATTATTTTAAATTCCAATTGAAGAGTTTTCTACAAAAGAAGCTGCTGTTATACAGTGCATCTTTTATCCAGATGTATACTAATGCATTAGGAAATTTCAATCAGGCAGCTGTCATGACTGGGGATTGGGCAGCCATGCCTAGTGGTCGGAGCAGTCAGCGGCCAGGAACAGCACCAAAGGCAGAGCTAGAGTCAGGAACCAGGAGTCCAAGAGCAAGAGAGGCAGGCCCAATACTACAACTAGCAGTGGCAATAGAATCCACCTTGTTTCACATGCAATTCCTGGAACGCCTCCTGGGCTTAAATAGGGTCCAAAGGGGCCAAAGAGGAAGCTGTCTTTCTGACATGGTACTTCTTGTGATGTTTATCTCCACAGGATCGACACTACGGTGTGCATGGCTGCCGGGCAGTGGTGTATATATTTTTTAAATTGAACTCACAAAAAAACGAATTAAACTCACAAATTTGGAAATCCCAAGATACGCACATAACACAAAGAGGCTTCTCTGGCTGACCTCTGGTCCCTCATCATTGCTGCAAGAAGGCCCCATTCTGACTGGCAATGAGCTTTCCGTTCCCTGCCACCAACTTTTATGTACAGAGCTACTTTTTTTATCTCCCTGTTCTGCTCCACCCTCAGCCAGTTTCTCTCACCTATTCACCCCATACTGCTTCCTGTGCATGCTTCACACACAAATACATAAGTGAGATCAGCATCAGGGAAATGATGTTTCCTACCAGAAACAACAGCTTTAGCCAGGACTGACATTGCTCAGGAGGCCTGGTCTGCACCTCCTTCATCTCAGGTCCTCCTTCCTTCACAGTCTAGTGCTCTGGCCCTGGAAAACTGCCAGACCCCTGAAGGTATAAAACTGCTCAGGACAGGCTAGTCTCCTAAGGACTGAAGTCTATCTCATATAATTAAAATCACCTTTGCATCACTAAATGCAATCCAATTGTCATAGAGAGGATTATGTGCCCAAAATAGATTTCCACTATTTCCCTGTTAGCTGATGTGTTCATTTTGGAACTATTGACTATCTAGCAATTGTCTGAAACCGGGTTGCCTGATCCTGTGACCCAAAGATAAAGAAACCTCAGCACATTTAAGGCAAAAAAGACTCAACCCTAAAATATTAGCATTCATTGCACATTTTGCTGCATTCACTTTGAATTTCACAGGACATTTGCTGGTTCTGAACCCCAAAACATCAAGTGAACTTGATGAGATGTAAATGAAGTCTACTGACTTAGAATCTTGAATCCCATGTGTGGCAGGATGCAGGAACACAATCTAGTCCCCAGTACACAAGGGGCAAACTCCATATGCCCCTTGAACACCTGTGAAAAAGGAAGGGCTGCTGGAGAGAAAGAAGAAGGGAAGAAGAGAAGAGGACAATACCTGGGGGAAGTCAGGGTTCCCTACCCAGACTCTGAAAGTTAGGCTAACCTCTTGGCTGGGAAAAAATCTGTTTGTAATCCTTTTGCTTTTGTTAACTTGTTTGCTTTTTATTTATAAAGATTATGCCCTGCCTATTGTTGTGTCTTGTTTCTGCTTGATCATCCCACTATCCAACCAAAAGCAACAAAAACCTAATCATCATACCAAGTCTTATACCTAGCCCAGCACTTTGCTAGTTACTTTATTTCAAACTAGTTGCTCTCTTCCTGTTCTGATGGCAGCAGTAAGTGGGATTGGATAGAGACAGAACCTGCCAAGGAGTTGTTACATACCATAGTTCAGGAGTCTCTCTCTCTCTCTCTCTCTCTCTCTCTCTGTATATCTATATATATATAAATAAATTACCTGGATAGATATTGAGTCTTATGTGAGTCCATTTCCTCTTACAACTGGAAGAAAAATAATTGTAGCTAGAATCAAGGTATCTTGGTTTCAACTCTTTCATAGGAACCAGAAGAGTCCATTCATCTGACTTCATCTGATAACAAATATTAATTAATTAGTCGTCTGGGTCAACGTGACGGATATTCTTCTTTAGTCCATATGTTTATTAATTAGAATTAGTACAGCTCAGTATGTTCTGATATATTTGAGCCCTTATTTCTCTACCCCATACTTGCTAGAGTTCCTTTATTAATCACCTGTGTTTTACAGGTAGGGTTGGTATTTGCATTCTAAGCCCCAGTGTTCAGCAGTTTATACAGTTCCAAAATAATTACCTTTGAGCTGAACTTTCAAAGAAATTCATCAGTCATCTAAGAAAGTTTGAAATAAACCATCCATTTTTGAGGATTGACCATTCAAATGAAGGTGGGGTTTTCTTTGATTAAATGCGTAGGGAAGTACTTTTTATTTTCCCAATGTTTTATTTACAAATAAATAAATACATGGTGCTAATATAATGTTGAAGCTGAGATTTTCATTGCAAAACAAAAATGAAATATTTCAGAGTAGCAGCCGTGTTAGTCTGTATCCGCAAAAAGAACAGGAGTACTTGTGGCACCTTAGAGACTAACAAATTTATGTGAGCATAAGCTTTCGTGGGCTACAGCCCACTTCTTCGGATGCATATGAAATAAAGAGTTAAGGGACCATATTCTGCTCTCAGTTACATTTGGTGTCAGTCTGAAGTAACTCCATTGGTTTCAGTGGAGTGACTTTTGATTTACACTAGTGTAACTCTAGTATATATTCCTAGAACAACCTTAAATCCATATGCAATGCAATACAGACTTTATGGGTCTGATTCTGCAGTCCTTACTCAGGCAAATATCCCATGGTATTCAAGGGAGGAAGAATGGATAATCTTGTGGTTAGGAGTCAGGAAACTGAATTTTTATTCCCAGCTCTTCCACAGACTTCCTATGTGACCTGTACGTGACAATTTTCAAAAGTGCCTTAAATTTGGGTACCCAGCTTAATATGTTTAAAGTATCTAAAGCAGGGATAGGCAACCTTTGGCACATGGCCCGTCAGAGAAATCCGCTGGCGGGCCGGGACGGTTTGTTTACCTGCAGCATCCGCAGGTTCGGCCAATCGCAGCTCCCACTGACTGCGGTTCGCCATTCCAGGCCAATGGGGGCTGCGGGAAGCGGCGTGGGCTGAGGAATATGCTGGCCACCGCTTCCCGCAGCCCCCATTGGCCTAGAACGGCAAACCGCGGCCAGTGGGAGCTGTGATCAGCCGAACCTGAGGATGCTGCAGGTAAACAAACCGTCCTCACCCACCAGCGGATTTCTCTGATGGACCACTTGCCAAAGGTTGCCGATCCCTGATCTAAGGTCTGACACCTAAAAATTGAGGCATCCAACATGAGGCCACAAGTAAGCAAGATTCATTGGATCAAACTGGAATTAAATGAAGAAAAGCCTTCTACAGGACAACTAAACTGTCACGTCAATTAGATACTTCACATTAATGGCCTGTTTATTTTTTTAAAACATAATAAGTGACTTGAGAACTCTTGAAAGGTGCCAGCCCTGAAAAATGAAGTCCCGTACTCAAGGCAGAGGTACAGCACAGGCATGCAAACTTCTCTAGGCTGTCCTACAGATACGTCTCAACACTGTTTTGGAGATGCCTCCTCTAAGTGTGAAAGAATAATTCAGTTTCCATGCCCACTAAATTGTTGCCTTCTTTGCTAACAGTGCCAAATTAAATGTGCTCGTTAAAGCCATCAGCACAATTGGTATTATGGACACCCACTCACAAGGATCTGGATTCAGATCAACACTGATTCTAATAATAGATCTCTGAAAAGCCATCAGAGTTCAACATTAACGCAGAATCAAATTAGGCCTAATTCCAACTATGATCTAGAAGTAAAAGCTTCTGTATCCCATTAGAATCCCAAGAACCGCCCAGCCTCCAACGGAGTATACCTTCTTGACAGCTTTTAACTCTTCATCTGAAGCTGCAGTTCCTATCCTGTCCCCTCTTGGCCAAACCTCTGGTAAATCCACTGCAGGAGCAATATAAACACATGCATAATCAGTAACTAATGCTACTGAAATATTTTTGTTTTTATACTAAAATATATAGAATGACAGAAGTAGTAAAAGCACTATTTGATCAGCTGAGTAATGCTGTCACAAGAAGCTCATCATTTTGTAGGAATACTTATTTTAGGTGGACCATGCCTATAAAAATATATTATGCTGGAAGTGTATTTGATATATTATTTCTACTAACAAAAATAAGTCATTTAGCTTAATTATTTCAAATTTTTTTGCTTTACAATAGCTCAGATTTTTCTCTTTGAGCTAAATCCTGCCTCATCTTCTCCAGCCCCAGAGTGATCCCTGGCAGTGGAACCACTGCAGTTCTGCTGTACAAAGGGAGAGCTGTATAGAAGACAGTGGAGGAACATAGCAGGGATATGTAATATCAGCGCAGAACGGACGAACTCAAGCAACCACTGTGGCACCAGGCAGGGAAAGGAGGAGATAGAGCCAGGACAAGAAGGGGGAGAAATGATGCTAAAAGATTTGCTCCAGATTTTTCCCATCATTCACTGTGGAAAGGCCATGTCCAGAGTCATGGATACACTTCATTCATTCTAATGGAGTAGTTCTTGAGCCATCTAAAGCTTGGTGGGAAGGGTGGTGAGATTTCTCCTACGGTACATCTGCTTGGCACCCAGCCTGACAACTCAGGCTGGTTTCCTGGACTCTGGATTTAGCCCTTTTTGGAGGATTTTCTTTCCTTAAGAACTAAAAAATGTGTAATTCTCTAAAATGTGTTTTGTTATTAAGCACACACAACACCGTGGGGTAAGTGATGTGAACTTGTGATATAAAACAATGAATGTAACAGCTGTATTCTCCCATCATTCACAGCCTTGGCCACCCAGTGTTTCTGACACTGCACTGCCAGAAGTGCTGTTTTCCCAAGGTGATATTTCCAAGAATTACATCACTCCAACCACTAACTCTGCAATGCCTGAAATTTAACTATTTTATCTACCATAAGAAACAATTTATTGTACTTAACTTTCCCCCATAATAATAAGGCTCTAATATTAGCAATACAATGTAAGGAGCAAATAGCTCTTCCGCTAAGATATCTAGAGACCTGATAGAAATTAATTTATTAGTTACCTTGCGTCAGACATGCTGCTTGAATTGATATACGAGGAGCACAGTTTCCAGCAAAGAAAGATGTGTTTACCTCAAATCCATGGACAATACCTGGTACTCCCAACTGGATAATACACCAATCATGTCCTGAAAGACAGAGGACAAACTGCTTTTCTAACGAGTTTAATATAACACCAGGGAATAAAAGCAGCAATTCACTTCAACAATATTTAGGGGGTACAATCCTGCTTTATAAATATGTTTAAGAAAAGAGCTCAAGCTGTTAACTTTAGATCCAGATACAGTCCTCAATATCACCAAAATTTGGAGGTGTTCAGTTCTATGATTTTGTAAAATCAACTTATGTGTAAAACAATCAAAAAGCTACAACACATTCCAATTAATTTTTGAAGGAATTTGCATGTAATCAAAACCTGAAGAATTCCATAAAGACACTAAGCATACTTGCCAAAACATGAATAGTACCAACTTGATGATTGTTATACTGGCATTTTGAAGAGCATTAGATGTTTGGATTTTAAAAAGCTGTGTGGTTTCCTAAGGCCTTGGACAGAAAATCAAAGGACAAATGGACAACTCTTTAAGAAAGAATTATTCCAAACTTGGCTATCTGGTTGCCTTTTCTCAAAATGTGGCAATGTGCATGTATTTGGGAGAAAAGATGAGCTCAGACCACAGAATTTGGATTCAGATCTGGATTTCAAAACCCAGAATTTTGAGTGTGCTTGTACCAGGGAGTTTGGTTCACACCATTATAAAAATAGAGGACATTTTAAAAATTCAGACAAAGACCTAAGTCTGGATTTTGAATACATCTAAGTTTAGGGGTATTTGGATCTAGCATTTTGGTTTGGATCCATCTCTATTTTGGAGTGAGCAATGGCAGGTTTAGGAGTCTCTCCAAATCACTACAAGTGTATATACAGTACTTGTACTTCAAATAAAAACAAAACACAAAAGAGCAGGTCATGACAACAAAAGCCATCACATAATGTACACTTAAAGCACAAAAAGAACTCAAACTCCCAGGAAGTTTGTAAGCTGTTTCTGGAGCTTTTTCAGTATTGCATTAAACTCATGAATTTATCTACTGGTTAAACTCTTGCCATTCAGTAGGACTGTGCAAAAATTGAAGGTCTGGATTCATATAGATTGGACGAACCCAAGCCAGTCGTTTTAGTCCATGTGGTGGTTCACACTGTGAAAGATTCATTTGGAGTTTCTGGTTCATTCAGTCCCAACAACTCCAAGCTTACCACTCTCAAAACTGGAAGGCTTCATAATGATGTCCAGGGCCGGCTCCAGGCACCAGCCTAGCAAGCAGGTGCCTGGGGCGGCCAATGAAGAGGGGGGCGGCACGTCCAGCCCTTTCGGCGGCAATTTGGCAGCGGGGCTGTCACTCCCTCTGGGAGCAAAGGACCTGCCGCCGAATTGCCACCGTAGAATGAAGCGGCGGTAGAGCTGCCGTCGCGATCGCGGCTTTTTTTTTTTTTTTTTTTTTTGCGCTGCTTGGGGCGGCAAAAATGCTAGAGCCGGCACTGATGATGTCAGTCAATTTCATCTCCTCTTCCCACCTCTTCTGTAAATCCCCTACTGTTACTATTTATTAAGTGACTAATATTAAGTGTATTACCTGGAATCCTTTTCCTCCTTGTCTCCCATCCATCCATCCACTTGCCATAATCAGTAAATTCATCTGGTTTAAAAACTGGACTCTTTTTCTAAAAAATAAATAAGAACAATGGGCCACTTATACCAGTACTACTCCACTAAGCTTAGTGTACTGAGCACAGAATTTTGACCAGCATAGAACATGCAGGTTTCAAGCCACTTGACTGATTTTATTAATAAAGGAGCATATAGGTGTCATTCTAGTCTCTAGAAAAATATCAGATGCATCAAACAATGGATTTATACTGATCTACTCCAGCTGAGAAGCTGGACTTCCATGTTTCAGTTTTTTTCTTTCAGTTACATATGTGGTATCAATCCAGAGTAACCCCACTGATTTCAGTGGGATTTTTGCATGTGTAATGATGGTAGGAACAGTTTGCTAACAGTTTTTGTATTTTAAATGGAAGTATTTGAAATTCATCATAAATTCTACTCAGAGCTAAAATGTATTTTAAAGTTGCTTCCTCAAAAGAGGGGAAGTCACGGGAAGAATGTGTGCAAAGAAAACTAGTTAACCTAACTAGTTTTAAGATGGAGCTTGAAAGGTGTATGAACAGTGTGGAAGCAGAGAAAGAACTGACAGGAAGGGGATGCAATGCATGACAGTTCGTTAGCAAGAGTTAGGCTAACTGTAACCCTAATAACGCGAGATTTGTAGAAGCGAGGAATGTGTGAGGCGAGTGGGAAAGAACTGTGTGAGAAGTTGTTGCGACCTTGTGTAGATAATATGGAATGTAGACTAAGTGTCTACATTAGTGAGCAAAACAAGATATCAGAATAACCTATGTATAAACAAAATGCAGCTGTTGCTCATTATTGTCTGTAACAAAAGGTATAAATGCTTGCTGTAATTGTTTACCTGTTGAGGGACCTGCTTAGCTCTCTCCCTCTATGCAATTGATAGAAAGAAAATAAAGTATCTGATTTGCTGTACCCAAACAAAAAGTGAGAACTCTGTTATTCTCCGACAACAGGATTATATAGCAGGGTTGTCAGCAAATAGAAGGAAACTGGACTCTGCAACATAGGAGGTCCCTTCTACTCTTTAGTTCCTATGTTCCTAAATGTTTGTGCTAAATGTTTGTGATGAAAGGAAATGGTAGTTGAAGCAAGGGGAGAGGGGAAATCCCACTTGATTCACTGAAATAGTTTCCACTGTACTGTAATGCCTGAATTCTGATTGCACCTGAGTACCTCTCAGAAGTTATACAGTAGTAATGAGACAGCAATTGAAATACACCTGTAATCAAGAATGAAAAAGTTTGGTAATCATAATCAAGCCTGTACAAATGTTTCCTTTATCAAAAGTAGCAAGAGCCACCGGTCACAATGAAGATGTCAGAGTGGTAATAGGGGCCACCACCCTTCATTATTACCAACTGGCTCAATGTACAGCTGCCTTACAGTCACTTTGCACAAGTGTAAATGATTTCATAATGGAAAAGACAATGCAGAACCAGATCCTTTGTTTCTGGTTGCCTACAGGCTATAATATTAAGCCTAGTGTTTTGGGGCACGTGACAGGGCTCTATTAGTAGCACCCTGGTCACTGAGGTTGCTCCAGCATTGAGAAGAGTACAGGCTTAATTGAAGCCAATTAATCAATTTCCTTTGGGAATCACTGACACTTGGGTAGCGATTGCTGGGATAATGGGGCAATTGGCTCAGTAATTGGGAGGATATTAGTGGGAGGAACATAGCAATCAGAAGGTGAGCCTGGGCAGAGGAGTGAAGGCTGTGTGGAATCTTCTACTTGCTGTAACCTTGCAGTACCCTGTGATACTTTGTAAGGAAAGAATAAATACACATGTGGTGAAAGTGTGTGGTGTGTTTGTGACTGAGAGACCACACAGGCAGTGCACTACATGGGGGTAGTGACTGAGGTGCCCTGAGACAGGGAGGCATCTGGCCTTTCTTTTATGCTCAAAACAAAAATGCACATGCAAAAATTCCTTCTTTTTCATGTCTAAAACTGGTCAGATGTTTTCTTTTGGAAAATTCTGTTGTGTGGAATTGACGTATTCCTGCGGAATGTGTCCATTCACTCTTAATGTTTGATGGAAGCCAGGCATCTGGTTTCCTGCCACATGCCCACCCACTGCCTGCCTCCCTGGGCTCCCCACCAGCTGCTTGGAAGGTTGCCTGGTAGGATATTGTAGAGCCTAGAGTCCCTCTGGCTCCCTAGGCTGCCCAGCTTCTCAACTGGCAGGCATCCAGCTCACCGCACAGCCAGGGAAGCCAGACAGACAGCACAGTTCCCCAGGATGGCCAGCTTTCCAGGCTCAGGCTCTCCAGCAGCCCACCAAGTGAGATGTTGAAGAGCAAGGTCTCCCAGGCTCACTAGGCTAGCCTGTTCCAGGCTCCCCAGCTCCCAGACTGCTAACGGAGCTGAGTGGTCTGGTAGCCAGTTCTATGGGCTACTCGGAAAGCTTAGTGGCCCACTTCCTGTCTTCCTGGCTCTAAGGGCTACTTGGGGAGCCAATGTCCATCTCCCTGATTAGCTGGCTCCCGTGGTCTATAGGCTACCTGGGGAGCTGGGTGGCCAGGTCCCTGGCCACCAAGTTACCCAGCAGCCCACCTGGCTGACTCCCTAGCAGGCCTGATCTCCAGGCTGCCCAGCTGCCTGGCTAGTCACCTCCCCAGGCTCCCATGGAAGCCGCCAGCCAGGGAACCTGACAGGCAGGCAGCCAGCAAGCCAAAAACTTCCATTTTGGTTCTCCCAAAATTGAATGTTTCTGGAAAATCCTTCCTGCACAAAATTTCAATTTTTTAACATTTTATCCTGCTCTGGTTTAAAAAGAAAAAAAATCAAAAATATACAATCTTTCCTGGGAAGGAATTTCCATTTTTCAGCCAGCTGTATTCATGGTGTTAGCATTTGGCTTGTTCTTGGGGCGTGTTGTGGTTTCATTGTTCATGTGTTTTTTTCTTGGTGCATCCCTCAAGTTCCTCAATCTCTAAGGATATGTCCCCAGCTCGAGGAGACATACCTGCACCAGCTCTGATCGAGCTAGCACACTAAAAACAGAGTGTAGTCATGGTGGTGCAAGTGGTGGGAGGGGCTAGCCACACTAGCATCTCTGACAGGATTGTACTTGGGGGGCTGGGGGGGGCGGGCACTAGCTCCTCATGCTGCTCAAATCTCCACAACTACAATCTATTTTTAGTGCACTAGCTCAGGGGTTTTCAACTTGTGGTCCGTGGATCCCTGGGGGTCTGAAGACTATGTCTAAGGGGTCTGTGATAGGTTGTCGTTACCACAGAACAGTGGTTTTCAACAACCCATGGTCCGCGGATCCTTGGGGGTCCATAGACTATATCTAAGATTTCCAAAGGTGTCCACACCTCCATTCGAAATTTTTTAGGGGTCCGCAAATGAAAAAAAGGTTGAATACCTCTGCAATAGCTTGATCACAGTTGTAGTGGGTATGTGTCCTCAACCTCCCCCTCTCAAAGTGTAGACATACCTTAAGATGCCTGCCTGGATGGCATCTTTAGAGAAAAATCTCCGACCTAGTAATTCTGCTTCTCAGAAGATTTATCATTTAGGATTCACGTTCATCCACCCACCTCCCTCAAAGTTTGAAGGGAAGCCTATTTATTATTATTTATTTGTATTGCACTAGCTCCTATTGTGCTTGGCACTGTACAAACACACAGTAAAAAAGTGCAGACAGTGTTGTCACTGCCCCAGACAACAATCCAGGTTAATGACAAGAGGCAAGAGTTGGACGAAACCAGCTAATGGGTGGGATGCAAAAGGAAGTACTTCACATAATGCACAGTCAACTTGTGGAACACATTGCCAGGGGAAGTTGTAAAGGCCAAAAGTATAATGGGGTTCAAAAAAGAATTAGACATGTTTATGGAGGACAGGTCCATCAATGGCTATTAGCCAAGATATTCAGGGACGCAACCCCATGCTCTGGGTGTCCCTAAATCTCTAACTGCCAGAAGGTGGGACTGGATAACAGGGGATGGATCTCTCAATAATTGCCCTGTTCTGTTCTTTTCCTCGAAGCTTCTGGCACCGGCCACTGTCAGAAGACAGGGTACTGGGCTATATGGACTGTTGATCTGATGCAGCCTGGCCATTCTTATGTTCTCATAATAATGCAAGCATGTTTTTGCATAATCAGTGTACACAATGAGGTTTGCTTCCTGCACAGACATCTTCAGCTGGTGGTGTTTATCTCTACATCTTGATGTGTTTGTATTGTTCTGCATTTCAGAGGCATTAATTTTTCAATGATTGCCTTGATGCTATTTGGTGAACTTTTGCTTCTTGCTAATTTAGGATGTGATTCGAAGGTCCTAGGGATTACAGTTACATTCCACGCACAACACCAAGGGTACCAAGGGTGTATTGTGCTTCTACCCACTCCCACTGCCCTTAGACAACTAAGGAAGTTCTGCCTGTCTCAACTAGGGAGCCGAGAACCGTGCAAAGGGAGAAGCAGAATTACAAGGTAAGTAATTTTCCCATAAAGCCAATGGAAATAGTTTCCAAGTAACGTATACATGAAATTACAGAGATACATTACAAAGATCAGTTGTCATTTAACATTTATATTGTGACAGTGCCTAGAGGCCAACCAGCTCAGATCCATCAATATTGTGCTTGGCACTGTACAAACAAAATAAATGTCAGAAATTAGGGCTTGCAGCCAGAGCCGTCCCTAGGGGATGGCGAATTGGGGTGACCACTCTGGGCCCTGCGCTTTGGGGGGCCCTGCGCTTTGGGGGGCCCTGCGGGGTGGCGCAATTGGCCTGCGCTGCATGGGCAGTAGGTGAACCGCTGGCTGGGGGAGACTACCCTCAGCCCCGCCCCTTCCACCAGAGGGAGAGGGCGCCGGGAGGGAGAGCATGCGGCAGTGCCACTGCAACCTCCCCAGCCCTGGGAAGGCAGGCGGCATGACCCCAACCCTCTGGAGTCCTGCAGCGCCGCCAAAGCAGGGTGGTGGTGGGGTGGGGTGGAGTGTGGGCATGGCCACGCCTGGCTGTTTGGGGAGGCACCGCCTGAAGTAACATCACTTCCGCCCGGGCCCCGCATCCCCCTGGGGACGGTCCTGCTTGCAGCTGAGCCTGGGACTAGCTAACTCCACCTCCTTAGTGAGCAACAGAGGACCCACAACTGAATCACAGTTGGCTGCAGCAGAATCACCTAATTGGCCAAACCTCCCAGTTGGCTGTTGGGATCAGCAGACCTGCTCTTAAGACGAATAGCAGCAGCAGGGCATTGGCTGCTCAAAGGACTTGCCCATGGCTGTGTTGGCTCCTGTCAGGGGTGAAAGTAATATTAAATTCTTACTGGTACGGGGGCCCGGCTCCGGGCCTCCAGAAGGGGCAGGACCTCGGGCAGAAGGGGCGGGGCTGGGGGTCAGCCTCCCCCAGCCAGCCCATCCGAGCTGCCTGGCCCATGCTGCCCAGGGCTCCAGCTGCGATTTAAAAGGGCCCGGGGCTACAGCTGCTGCCGCAGTAGCAGCGGTGGCAGCCGGGAACCCCTGGCCCTTTTAAATTGCTGGTCCCGGGGCAGCTGCCCCTTCCCCCCCGTTGGGGGGGTAGGCCAGTACCAGCTTCTTACCGGTACACTGTACCAGCCCCTACCTGCCCACTTTCACCCCGGTTCCTGTACTTGCTTGTTCTTAGCCCTGCCTCACTCCAAGTAAACCAACTCTGACCCTCTCCTATGATTCCTCACTTCTATCTTTGGCTCGACCCTAGGTTCTGACAGCTGGCTCCCGCTCTAACCACTAAGCATGACTGCCCACGTCCTGGTCTCTGACAGTAAGTTACAGTCCCTGCCTCTGAAGCCTAATATCTTTAACAGTCCATGAAAATCCTCCAAAGTGGTGAATGTCAGCCCACCATACCTTTAAGAGATTCTCTGCAGGAGCAAAAAAGTCATCTGTTGCAAATAAAACCTACACAAATAAAAAATAATAATAATAATTATAAATATATACTATTTTATTTTATTTCCTAGTGATATGTTAAGTTATCCAGTAAAAAGAAAATATTAAGTTGCCTAAAGGCTTATAGACATATACATATAAGACCATATTTTTAAAAAATTGATTTCTTTGTATGCATTTCTCTTTCCAATACTCCAATGAACCTGCATAGATCCCCACTGAATTCAATTCTTTGTTTGAGGATCGGGACCTTACTCTTCTTTCTGCATCTTTGTATGCATTTTTCTTTGCAATACTGTACTCCAATGAACCCACATAGAACCCCATTGAGTTCAATTGTTTGCTTGAGGATCAGGGCCTCACTCGTCTTTCTGCATTTTTATTTACAAAATTTTTACCTACTGCTGTGACATAGGGAAGAGTTTGTTTCATTTTCTTTGTAAATAACTCATGATACGTACACCTGGAAAACCTCCACCTTCTTGAGTGGTTCTTCAGACTAGAAGCATGACATGATGCAGAAAAAACAAGTGGACAAAAAATCTTTTTAATCACAAACCAGGCTATTCTTCCACTGAGGATTCTTACCTCCCCTTAGCTGCAGGACAAGAAGCCCTGCTAATGGAAGTATACTACTGGTACCTCCATCAATGAGATACAATCCCATATTTGTGAATATGTATTTCTGTTTTGTACATACATATGCTAAACTGAACAATCTTAAGGACATGGTTCATTTTACAGCAGAGCACCTTTTTCTTTAACCTTCATCCAGTGTTGAGAAAAAAAGTTACATTAACTATATTGTGGGGGACTTTTGTCCCCCAAATGCATTCAGAAACTAAGAACAATTCTTTAATGTTTTAGGTGAAAAATCTTTATTTAAATAGCAAATTGAAAGAACTAGCTGGAGTCTCATTCAATGGGAGTCTGTATGCAATTTTCACACATCAGCATCAGTGTGGAGTTATCAGCGCATACAAATTCACTGCATTCTCCACATTGCTTGTGGTTCTTACAGTCAGCTGACCTTGGCAAATTTATCAGGTTCGCCGCTCCAGGTCAATGGGGGCTGCGGGAAGCGGCGCGGGCCGAGGGATGTGCTGGGCGCCACTTCCCGCAGCCCCCGTTGGCCTGGAACAGCGAACCACGGACAGTGGGAGCCGCGATCAGCTGAACATGCGGACACGGCAGGTAAACAAACCGGCCAGGCCCGCCAGGGTGCTTACCCTGGCGAGCCACGTGCCAAAGGTTGCCGATCCCTGTCCTAGATTGACAAGGAACAAGAGCCTTCTTTATCTTGGGCAAGTGTGGTGCCAAGCAGGATTGTCACTGACCTAAATGATGAAACTTGAAATGCCAGCAACATCAAGCATGTTGAGGAAAAGAACCATTGGCCACCTATTTGTCTTGCATCTGTAGGAATTACATTCTTGCAAGATGGTCATTGTTATCTATACCACTTTTGTCACTCTACTGGAGAATTATGTGGGGTTTCTTTTTTGTCTCCTTCTACAACCTTGTCATAATGCATCATCAATAGTATTACTACCGTCTTGCCCTTCTTTGGAACACAGGAAGCCAGTATGAGTGACCCAGAAAACCCAAACACTGATGACAATTTTCTCTGTTGCAAAGTGGATGTATCTCACTGGGTATATCTAACTTCTTTCATCAGATAGCTCCAACATAGGTCAACATTTTGTTGACTAGACCTTCAGAATTTGAACACTAGGAAAGACTTTGTGTTCAGATTATAAAACTGCAAATTAAGACTTGTGGGGTCTATTCCTGGCTCTGCCAAAGACTTCCTGTGTGACTTTTGGCAAATCCCTTAATTTCTCTGTGTCTCAGTTTTCCCATCTTTAAAACGTGGATAATAATACTTAGCACGCAGGAATGTTGAGAGGCGTAATTCATTGGTGTCTGCAAAACACTTTTAGATCCTCAGTAGGAAATAGCTGTAGAAATGTCAAGTATAATCTGCACTAAAAGCACAGTTTGTTTTTTGAACTGCATACATTTACCTTTCCTCCTACAGCTTCACACGCCAAGTCATTCAGATGTAGAAAGTCAGGTAAAACTTGAGTTTTTTCTCCTTTGAGATGAGCAGCCATCTTTCCTCTAAAAGCAGAAGTAAAGTATTCTATTCAATTCTAAGAAGAAACAAGAGAAATTAAAAGGAGCATGTTCAGCATAACTTGTCATTTCACGAATTCTGTCCTGGCTTCTCAGCAGTCAGAGAAAACTTGGACTCCAGGAATGGGTTATTTACTTGTTGGAAGAAAAATAACTGCACTTACATTCAGGATACGCTTTTACCATTTCTATTGATTTATAATATGCATCTATCTGAGATAAACAAAAATATGATTAGGTGTGAGAGTTAAACCAAATGTTAATAAATAAAAAGTCCACATATTTTCCAAAGCTGTAAATAGTAGATTCTTAATTTACCTTCTTGCATCACAATATCAAAGTTCACCTTCTATTAATTATCACCAACATCATTTTTATTATTAACAGTAATACCCAGAGGCACCAATCAGGAGGGGCTGCATTGTGTTAGATGCTGTAAAAACAAACAAGATCCCTTCCCTGGAAAGTTTATAATCCCAACTATAAGTATTAAATGATAGGATTTAAATTAGCTGTTACCACTCAAGAAAGAGATCTTGGAGTCATTGTGGATAGCTCTTTGAAAAAGCGAACAAAATGTTGAGAATCATTAAGAAAGGGATAGATAATAAGACAGAAAATATATTGCCTCTATATAAATCCATAGTATGCCCACATCTTGAATACTGTGTGCAGATGTGGTCACCCCATCTCAAAAAAGATATATTAGAATTGGAAAAGGTTCAGAAAAGGGCTACAAAAATGATTAGGGGTATGGAACTGCTTCTGTATGAGGAGAGATTAACAAAACTGGGACTTTTCAGCTAGGAAAAGAGACTACTAAACGGGGATATGATTGAGGTCTATAAAATCATGACTGGTGTGGAGAAAGTAAATAAGGAAATGCTATTTACTCCTTCTCATAACACAAGAACTAGGGGTCACCAAATGAAATTAATAGGCAGCAAGTTTAAAACAAACAAAAGGAAGTATTTCTTCACACAACACACAGTCAATGCGTGGAACTCTTTGCCAGAGGATGTTGTGAAGGCGAAGACTGTAACAGGGTTCAAAAAAGAACTAGATAAATTCATGGAGGATAGGTCCACCAATGGCTATTAGCTAGGATGGGCAGGGATGGTGTCCATAGCCTCTGTTTGCCATTCCCTGAGTGACAGGGAATGGATCATTTGATGATTACCTGTTCATTCCCTCCGGGAAACCCTAATCATTTTTGTTGCCGGCCTGCCCTCCTCCAGGGTGAATCCCCTTGTCATTCAGATGCAAGGAAATATACATCTAGTGTGGGTGACTCTAGTCCAAGGTTGGAACCCTCCCTTGGTCTGTAGATAAACAGTATACCAACAATCATATTAGAATAATTACTGTATCCCAGACCACTGTCTAGGGGCCAGGTGGCATGGTCTGCCAATGGTTCCTGTGTCAGGAGGTATACGCACATACTCCTTGTGCAGATACTTCATGCTCCTGCCAGCTTGGGGAGGGGAACTAAATGTAGGGCCACCCTTGTTTCCTCATAGCTTCTCCCTGTGTTTATGTTCTTGTCTAACTATGAGCTCTTCAGGTCAGGGACTCCATCTCTAGTTGATCTGTAAAGCACCAGGCACCTCTGCTGTACTGTAATCCTAGTAGTAATAAATATGCTGCCCCTGAAGAACATTGGCACCTACTTGGGTGACATTTCTGCAGTGAGCCTGCAATAATGAGAAATGACCCATTTCATTTGGTTACAGAAACAGTATTTGCTGTTTTCAAATTTACAGCAGAATGGGATAGCACAGAAAGGTAGGAAGGAGGAGGACAGTAAGAGGAGTGTACAAAACCCTGAAGGCTTCATTCTAGGTTGCCCTCAGAACTCAAAAGTGGTTTGCCACCAGAGCACTGACAAGGACCCTAAGAAGCAAACCCTCCCATCTCCTCCACAGCTGAGGAGACACCTGGCTGATGCAGAGTTGATGTGATTCTACTGGATAAAGGGGCAAGATTTATGGAGCCTGTGCAAGAGGTTTGCACCTGTGTTCAGTGTAGATATCAGCTATGCAGTAGCTCCCTGGAAGTGATTATAGCATAGGGTTTGGGAACTGGGAAAGAAGAGGAGCCTGTAGTCCAGAATTTTCAGATTCATCACTTATTCTCTTCAGTGCTTCGGGATGCAATTGCTGTGGTGCTATTGTAGCTCTGAGACTACAGCTCAGAGCTGTGGAGCAGTTCTGCTGTTCCTCCACAAGATGGGAGGAGATTATCTTGTTCCCACCCCCAGGACCTGAAAGGAGAGGATTCTGTCCTCACCCCATCATGACACACCCTTAAGCAAAGTTCTGCTATTATAATTTACCACGTGTTGCCCTCAACAGTATTTCCATTATGCCTACTAAATATGATTTTTTTCTCCATAATGGTTGGTTATTTTATGCTTTCTTTATAATCTGATTGAGTTATCTCATTAATGTTTTCCAACTGTAATTAGAGCAATCAGCAGCCAGTTGATGTATTTAACTTCTTCCATTTTACTACATTCTGCCACCAAGAGGCTACACTACAGGTTCCTATTGTTAAACATGCATTTACTGAACAACTCTGGCAATCAAAACCTTACTATACAGTGGATACTTTACTTTTTAGAGAAAAGTGATCCCTTCAGTACTCTTTGTATGTCTTGTATTGAGCAAATGGCACTGTCCATTATTAGAAATGAATTCCATGAAGTTACACTGACACTGATCAGGATTATGGAAAAAATATCAAAAATTTGGTGCAGTGTCTCTTGGGAAAGCTCATAGAATTTCTAATATTGCTATATTCTTCAGTATTTCTGTTATCAAAAAAGGGACCTCTTTCATTTTACACTCAAATTTACAGCTGTCACATTGCTACCATAAAAATATTAAGAGAGATATTTTCAATAACAGCCTCTACTTTGGCACCTGCAATTGATTGTTGGTGCTGTGCAATTTTATAGTCACATTTGATTGTGGATAAACACTTCAGGGTTTAACTATCTGATCTGCAGGTACAACTAACAGTTCCAATTAGGAAGTTTGAGGTCTGAATTCTATGATTTGTGTCTGTAATCAATTGCAGACACAAGATGAAAGGTCAGGGTAAGGCCTTTATGTTTCATAACTGGTATTTTCTAAAACCATATCTCTTCAGATCTCAAGGGAAAAATTATAGTTTTCTTGTGCTGAAGAATTTCATAATTCAGATACCATTTAGGTTTTTAAATGGACACATCATTGTCTGATCTAAGCATGCCATCACAAATAAATTAGACAACCCAAAAGTTATTAAACATTGTTTGAGAGGATACCTTAGAAGGTACTTTACTTTGGAAAACAAATACTTAAATTCTTATAAAGATGCATTCCATCTGAAATATCCTTATACTCCCATGCAATGTAAATAACCTATCAAAAAATAAAATGTATCAGCAATGGCTTTTTCATGTTACCTTATGATTTGTTCCACTCCCGTGTCTGCTAAAGAAATAAGAAATTTTTAAGAGGTCAAAGTCTTTAAATGTTTGTCTACAGCCCAAAGTAAGCATAGCAATGCAACTGATCAGTAAACAGCCACTGGACTTATTGATTCTGAAAAGCAAAGATTAACAGCTCATCTTTCCTTGTTTTAGACCGATATAAATATTTTTCTGTGCAGTTCTTTTTGGAGCTTAAACATGTACAGCCACAGCTTATTTATATCTTGACTTGTGCAGCATATTTCATGGTCAGCCTAACTGATTTAAGGAGGGATTTAGCTCAGGGCACATTTTCTTGGCTGCACTTGGCTGCTTTGCATCATGCCACAAGCATAAAGCAGCCCTAAAGCTGGCATAACCAGCCACAGGAGGATTACCTCTTTGTCCTGTGATCTTCCCTCGGTACAGAGCCAGCATACTGGCTGCTATGCCACACACACTGGTTGTTGGCACAGGAGATGTGACTAGGGAAAAGGGGTCCTGGCGAAGTAATCCCTGAACCTCAGCAATTCCTGATTGCTCTAAAGTTCTTAGGGCCATTAGAAGCCATTTTAACTTTGTGCAGGCTTTAGGCTGCTCAAACTTCCCCCAGACACTGCCTAGGATTGTGAAACTTGCAGTTACTGTTGCAGCTTCTGTCCCAAGTTCTGCTGGGTATTCCATGGCTGCACCTGAAATTCTGGATCTTTATACATAGTGGAATGAGGTAGACAAAGGTTTTTTTCCCCCTCCACTAAATTAAAAATGTATAGGATGAAGGGTATATGATGATTCTGTTGTGCAGCCAAATGCACTTCTTTCTGGCATTATGAGGCCAATTGTGTCTTCTGCTGCTGCTGGAACCATGCTTTCATCTGCTTCTATTGCTTCCTGTCCACATGCAGCTGCTGTACCAGGAGGCACCCTTTCCCTGCAGGCTGTTCCAAAAAGACATAAACACAATCCCTCCCCTGGTGCCATGTGTGAGAGACTCCCTGCTGTGGATACCTCCATTGGCAGCTTCCATCCCTTTGAGAAAGGCCCCAACACCTGTATTTTAGATTCACAAAGATTTCTTTTCTCTTTTGCATTAAAAAGGGGGTTGCACCATACAACATCCTCTTCACTCGCAGAAGATCTACGTAAAGAGGGGTCTCTTAGAGCTCCTTTTAAAAGAAATACAGATAAGGCTCAGAGGGTCCTTTGACACAAGTGTCTCAAGCCCTTTCCATAGGGGTCTCAAGGAGAGTTTCCTTCTTTCTACCTGTGACAGGGTCGGCTTACCCCGCACTAGCCCAGACAGGGTTAAGCCCCAGGTGTTGACAGCGGAAGTCCCGCCTCCCTGGCAAGACTGGGCATGCTCCAAGTGCTCTAGTAGTATAAAGGGAGGGAGACTGCCTCATTCTGGCCTGGAGACCACAGGGGAATGACCTGCCTGGGAAGTGCCTGCGGAGCCACAGTCTCTGACTATGCTAGGAATTGCAGCCGTCCACAGCCCGCTTGCACCCTGGCAACTGGAGGAGACCCTGGAGACGACTGGACCTGCCTAACACAGGGGAATCGATGTCTCCTGGGAAACCCCATCACAGACTCTGGTAGGAAGTGACCCAGGGAGGGTGTTGGAGTGGTACCTCCCACCCAGGGAAACTAAGTGTGTTTTGGCAGGACCCCCCTACTGAGTCAGTGGCAAGCAGCTATGCCACTGTTAGGGCCCGGTGGAGTTGGGTAGGCCCGGGCCCCCCTACTGGGGCAGCCACACCCCAATGCTATAGACTCCGGCTGTGAGGCCGCGCTGCCCTGCACTGAAGGGTGGCGCTATAGACTCCGGCCACGCTGCCCTGCACCGAAGGGTGGTGCTATAGACTCCAGCTGCGCTGCCCTGCGCTGAAGGGCTGCTTTATGGACTGTGACTGATAGTCCACGCTGCCCTGATCCCAGGAGTGTGGACCGTCACACTACCCCTCCCAGCTCTGATGCATACTGAAACAAAGCCTGTTGCTGGTGGAGCTGCAATTGAGACCAGCTGTCTCAGCTTCTGTCTTCCCCTGAGCTTCCTCCATTGCCCCCTCCCCTGTCTTCAAGGTACCTGGGGTCTATACACCCCCTTACATTGTATGCCCCTTACCCATTCCCCATCCCTAAGAAATCAATCCCTACTAACCCCCTTCATCCCTCCCCAAAACCTACCCTCACTATTTATTTGGTTCAGTAACTGGCCTGTTACAGAAGGGAACCTTGAGCAGCAAATGAGCCTCTGACTTGCAGCCAGAGGGGGGAAGCTCCCAGAGCCTGGACTCCAGCCCAACCCTGAACATCTATAAAGCAATTTTTAGCCCCCAAGCCCAAGTCAGCTAACCCAGGCCAGCTGTGGCCATGCCCTGGGTCTTTTATTCCAGTGTAGATGTCAGAGCTCTGCCCTTCCATTGTCCACACAATAAGGGCCCTGCCCAATCTCAGGAGGCACAGAACTTAAAAATCCTTGTAGGCCCAGATCCTCAGACATAAACACTTAACACTATGGTTCCTAAGTGGGATTTGGAACCTGCCCCCATGCTTCTACTTCAAGCTTTTGCCACTGGACGTAGGATAGCAATCCTCCCCCTACCTGAAGGGCATCCAAGTTACCTTCTTGGGACTTAATCGCTGTGCTGACCACTGTATCCTGTCTCTCTCTACCATTTAGCTATGTGTGCTCCAATGAGAGGACTAGATCACTAGCCTTATGCTGCTGCACAAATGAGCAAGGGGGCTACTGGCTCCTATATATTGCCAAGCGCAAGCAAAGGGAGAAAAGCAGCCTCCAGGGGGCACTAGTCCCCTCTCATGCAGGTGGGCTGGGGGGGAGAGGATAAGAGAAGAAGCTTGGGTCCTCCCTCTAACATGTGGGTCAGCACAGCCAAGCCAGCCTGCCAGGGGAAGCAATCTGCACCAGGCATAGAACTCTATCAGGAATAGGCATAACTAGAGTCACTCTCTGGTTCCCAGTCAGCTCATGGGGCAATGCAATAGTGTGCTGCCCCTTACTCAGGGTTTATGGCAAAACTACGTCTTATCCTCAAATGAGTAAAACATCTCAGAGGTCAGCTTGTCTACCCATTTGCTATTGCAATAATGTTCCCAATGTATTCATACAGTAAGCACTGTCAGTTAAAGCAGATTACACCATTTACCACCAATAAATTCAAGAGTTACGAAGATGTAAGAAACATGTGAGGATAAACTGAAATATCTAACTCACCCAAGTAAAACTTCATTACAAACAAGTTAAGGCTAATTAAAGGCAATATCCACCGACTCAAAGCCATCAAAGCAAGGAAATACCAAGTTAATTATGCCCTATGATTGCATTTCTCCCACAGCTCTTTTTACATGACATATTACTAAACCAAACACCTTCCAATATTGAATTTTTTTTTTCTTCTTTCCTAGGCTACTTGTTTAATATAGCTTCCTACGTGTGTGTGTCTTTGAGTCCTCTTCATTTTCATTATATTCCTAGCAACAAATTTAGTGTACATAATCTCAATCATGCTCCATTTGATCTTGCATTACTGGTTTAAATATTCTCTCTTCTTTTTAACCTGTGACAAATAATCTCCCAGAGTCTGTTTACTATTAAATATGCATCTCTGAGAGGACATCCAACTGATATTGTCCCTGGCTTCTGGACAGATACCTATGTTTGTACAAGGGCAAGACTAAAGGGTACAGGAGTTCTAGTCTACTCCTAAAATGTATGAATTTAAGACATGGTAAGAAACAACCATGAAATCAGGGTGCAATGGTGATACCTTGCACAGTGATCAGGTACAATATTTTCCTCTACATACACTTCTTGGGCACTTAGAAGAGATTTCACACCTTATCTGGTTTAAAGGACAAATTTTCCCTAAATTTGTGTCCGGAGCAGGATAGAATTTATGGGGCTAAAACAGCAGGGAACTAGATTAAGACAAAAACAGTAGAGCTGATGTGTAGAAAAGGATGCTATTTTTGTAATGATAAAGTTAATGAATTGCACTTTTATTTTGCTACATTTTATCTCAGTGAAAGACAAACACAATTAATTGAATGCATAACTTAATTCTCCTATTCCTGAAATTTTGCACCTACTTATGATTATGACTGCACTGAAGGATGAAGCAGGAATAAAATTTGACTTGTGGATGTTGCAATGTGTCCCATACCTTTCCTTTAGTAGGTGGCACCAACCTATTATAAATCAGCTTTCAGTAAAGCAAAGAGTAGAAAGCTTAAGGCACGGCTACCCTAGAGAGTTTACAACTCTCCTGTCAGCTTAACTACTCCAGCCCCCGTAAGCAGCAGTAACTATGTCGGGGGCAGAAGCTCTCCCACCAACCCACACCAGCACTTATGTCGGTGTAACTTATGTCACTTGGGGGGATAGTTTATTCACACCCCTGAGTGACATAAATTATGCTGACATAAACTGTAATGTAGACATAGCCTTAGTTGCCTCTTACTGCCACTAGATGATAGTATGGTAACACAGAGACCATTACACTGCACACCAGACCAGCAGCTGCTGAATTTTTGACAGTATTTAATATTTTTATACTTACAAGAACAGGCAGGCACCTATGCTAGGTATCTAACCTTTGAATGATCAGCACTGGCTTATGCTCCCAGTAAAGTGAATACAGTAACATATCCCTACTAGTATGCAGTGTTGTTGTTGCTATGTCAGCCCCAGGATATTAGAGAAACAAGGGGGTGAGGCAATATCTTTTACTGGGCCAGCTTCTGTCGGTGAGAGGACAATCCACCAGAAAAGTGGATCACATCATGGAAAAGGCCACCCAAATACTGAGAGAACCCCAGAACTGAAAAAGAGCTCTGTGTAAACTCAAACTTGTTTCTCTCACCCAGAGACAGATTAAGATTTATTGGGGTCCTGGGCACAAAGAGCATTTGAGTCTAGGGTGACCAGACAGCAGATGTGAAAAATCGGGACGGAGGTGGGGGACAATAGGAGCCTATATAAGAAAAAGGCCCAAAAATCAGGACTGTCCCTATAAAATTGGGACATCTGGT